GCAAGGAGGAAGAAATCTCTCACTTTCCCTCCACTCTTACAATCTCAAAGAATTCCTCACAATCTAACTCTAAAGTAAACTCTCTACACACTACTGGGACTCTTGGACGTTGTTCTAACCTTCCAACTTCTTGAACTCTCGAGCCTCCCCCCTCCAATTTTTTGTTAAAGTCTTCTTTTAAAGTTGTAGAAGAGTTTTCCGAAGAGTTGTCTAAGCATCCCTCCAAAAATCGTCCACATTCAATGCACCTTTGAAAATAACCGCCGATCGCACCGTCGGCGACCTCGAGGGCACCGTCAGCGGGCCTTCTAAACTATTTGTCTGGAGTCTCGGGAAAATGTCGACGTCGGCGCCTTGGGTCTCGCCGTCGGCACTCTAGTGTCGCCGTCGGCGCCTTGGGTCTCGCCGTCGGCACTCTAGTTTAAATCTTCACATTTTGGTCCTTTTCGCTCCAAATTCACTCTTTTTTGCATCTTTTTGCTCAAATGGTCATAATTCATCTTACCTGCAACAAAAAATCAAAAATACATTTCTTTAAAGTGCAATATCATAAAAAATAGTGTAAAATAGGTATGAAAATCTCAACTTATTTTTTTTTTGTCAATGACCCACTATCAAGAAATAGATAACATCACATCTTGGGATTAATCAATCTCAGAGGACTCAATTTGATCTCTTCCATCATGAGCTACCATTGTCAAGTAGAAGATTTGATTAAAAAGCCTCAAATAGGTCAAAAATATTTGGTGAATTCCATTTAAACGCTTCCATAACAGGTTAATAATCAAGTAGAAGCTTCGACCAACAACGTCAGATAGTTTAGCAATCATTGATGGATTTCATACGACTTTGTCCAATACATGTTAACGATGTCGAGTATATCTAGCTATACAATCTAAAATGGGTCTTACCTCCTTAATGGAGTCTTATTTTGTCTTTTTTCCAACATAGGTTAATGTTGTCAAGCATTTAAGCTAAAGTTTTAGGTATGTTGGACCTGACCCGCAATCACGTGTATTTTAAATCTCTAAAATATTGTCAAAAACTTATTCCAATTTTTATTTAGTGGCTAGTGTGAATAAATAAAATGAAATAGAAAATAAATAATAAAACTTCACACTAGAGGTACTACGCAAGCATACATATCTTTTCAAGTAATATATGATTTTCTTTAAAGTCCCAGTATTGATCCCAAGAGGAAAGTTTAATTCTTTAAATTGGACTAGCAAAATTCTATCCAAATTGCAGGTAAAAGGAAAGTAGAATAATACCAATATGATTGCAAAAATTAAGACTGAATTAAAGCCAAAAGAAACAATTAAGATTAATAGTTAAAAAAGTAAATTTAACGAGTTTAAATATTATGAAAAGATCTTTCCCCTTGTAAAGAGATATTAATCTGTGTAGGATTTGAATAACTAAAAATAAGATGATGTATTATGACAAATATGAGCATTATTATTCTTTACCCTCTCCCGGTGCTAGCAAAAAATATTGGCTAATTTAGAGTTTTTCATCAGCTCGTGTAGTAGTGTTGAGTAGATTCTGGCCTTTCACCTCTAGATTACTCACCGTTCCCTCTCTATAGGACCTACTAGGGACCCTTACAATCCAAACTCTAAACCAAATTGATAAAAAGGATCTTTAGAAACTTCAATTCTACACCCATCAAAACTTATCTCCCTATCTATTTGCACTCCTCTTTAGACAATGGCTCTGGCCAGATGAAGTACAACACTCACTAGTTTGGTGAAATCATAGCCCTTCTGAGTCTTTATGTTTCTCTATAGATTTTAACCTCAAAAGTGACTAATTTGTAAATTCAACAAAGAAACAGAGAAATTGTCATCACAATTTTTTAAAGTAAAAAGAAATTTTTAAATCATTCTCATCCCACAAGATTAATTACCAAATACAAAAAGAAAAAAAAAGGAACTAGTTAGAATTCATGGAGATTAAACAAAAACACAATTTGTATTGAAATCAAAGTCTTAGAAACAAAAAACATAATTTGTATTGAAATCAAAGTCTTAGAAACAAAAATTAAACACAAATACAAGATACTTATCTTTATGTATTTTCCCCAAGTAAATCCACCCATCACAAATTTTAGAGTCT